GCGTTTCTCTGCTTAGCTGCTCATAGCTCGTCAGCCTTGCTGCCTTTGCTGGTGACGAGCCTGGCACCATTCCCACCACACGAAGCATTGGTGCTCGTGCTTGCCGATGTGGATGAGAAGCCAAGATAGGATCTTGGTTCATCTTGTACGGCGATCGAGACCTGAGTAACGGAGGGATCTCGCGAAGGACAATTTGCCTCCGACCCGTCTGAATGTATATATCTGAAAACTGAATCATGGCCGTTCAAGAAGACAGGAATCCATCGAGAATCCATGTAAACCAGTGGCTCGACCACTTGAAACGCATTCTCTACGACGATATCGTTCGCGGGGAGGCGTCCGGCGACGGACAGTTGAGGTGGAATTGATGGCATGGGTGCTTCAGAACTTGCCATTACCCTGGTCAAAGGATCAGGCGTTGATCACTCACCGAAGAAAGCTACATACACGGAGCAAACTGAGCTTCCCCGAAGATTACCTTCACCCGAATGCCCATCAAGTGATGAGTCTACGTGGGTACATCAAAGAACAGAGTCAATAAGGAGGCAGAAGGCTATGCAGCCTGCAATGTGTATATGCAAAATAAAAAAAAAAGAAAAAATAGAAAACGTTATGTACATGGGATCGACTGTGCATCAAAAGGGTATGAGAAAATCACAATCAACCATGGCCCAAAAAACCAATGCAAGACAACAAATACGATAAAGAGATACATAATGGCATAAACATGTCGGACATCACATTCTTATCATCCATCAGCCTCCAGGGAATCGACAGATGGCTCATAAGAGAAAGAAACCATAACACCGTTGCACCGTGCCCACCAGGAACCTGGGGAGGTCGAAAAGAAGAAAACAGGCATGTCAATGCAGATAATCAACAAATCTATCGCAACATGCCCTCGGGAATCAAGTTTCTATGATAAATCCGGAAAGGAGCTCCTCAGACGAGCTCCACGAATAACGTCAGCTTGGAATTGCGTTGGATGGCCGTATCGAGATCGCTGTCGCTGACCAGGTCGACGTAGGCGCCCGACGGCTCGTCCTTGTATTGCACCGCGATTTCAGTGTTGATCTTCAGGCGATCCATGAGCTTCTCGCGCAGCTGCTGAAAGCTGATGTCGTTCGGGACTCGAATCGCGATGAGATCGCCCTGGAAGGACACCTTGACTTTCAAGGCGCCGCTGCTCGAGCTGGAGACCTGCGTCAGAGAGCTGGCCTGTCGGTTCATCGGCGGGGGCATGCCGTTGCTGTGCGAGATCGACGCCTGAGCCCGCTGGTGCGAGTTCCGGTCGGGCGGGGGGTGGACCTGAGCCTGCGAGGACTGGCGGGACGCGCTGCGGAGGTCCTCATGCGCCGAGTGGTGCGACCCCCCGGAGAACCGCACATCCTCGCCAAACGCGCTGGGGTCGATTTCGAAGTCTCCCGCGCGAGGAGCAAACAATTCGCGGACCAGCTGACAGCGGGAGATGTGGGGCGGCATGGCCAGCAGTTTCCGAATATACTCGTCCAAGTTCTGGCGGCGGCCGTTGGAGATCGCATCGGTAACGTGGGTGACCGGGCCGGGCATGAACGGTAAGGTCCGTGGCTTGCCTCGGTTCCCGGCCTCTTCTTCAAACTGCGTCAAGAGGGCGATCTGAAAGTCATAAAAGTCGTGGTAATACCGGGAGAGTTCCCAACAGCGACCGTCCTCCATCTTCGCCTCGATGATGTACCAGTATTTATCGTTGTCGAAGCAGTAGCGAGGAATGGACGCGGCGACCGGGGCCACCAGGGGCTGGTGGTAGCTTTGCACCGACTGGTGAGACATATGCTGTGCGAGCGAACCTTTGCTGGGATTGCGATGATGGTAGCCCTAACAGGACGACGGGTTAGCACGGCGATCCCCGGGATCCCGAACGGGGTGGCAGGGGAAGCGTTGCGACTCACATAAGAATTTCCGTTCTGGCTCAAATGGGCGGTGCTCTGATGGCTCATGGACATCTTTTCCATGCCGGCGGTCACCGAGTTCACATTGTTCGCCGCCGCTGCGGCGGAGTCGATCTTGCCCAGCGTGATGCTGCTATTTTTGTAGTCGGCGGTCATCTTCTTCCATTCCTCCACCTTGGGCACTCCAGCGCGTCGCACAGCGTCGAGGGGATCCGTCACCGCTTGACCCGACTGCATATCCCGCAGCTCAATGAACGAGACCGGGATGAGACCGGGGCCGCCCAGGCGACCGATGGGTTTGGCGACAAACCATTCCGGGTTGGACTGGGCGATGACGATGATGGCCTCGCCGGCTTTGGCGGCGAGCTCGTCCGGTCGCTCGGCCTGGAAGTCATACTGGACGACACCGTAGACCATGGGGCTCGAGCCCTTGCCTAGTGTTGACATTCTCAGGAAGGCGGGGGGAGGATTGTGTTTCGGCGAACCGTTGACGACGTCGGGACCAGGGAAGGCAGCTGGGGCTCGATCAGAGAAACCGGAGTCGTGGGATTCCTTCTTCTTATGTAGGTCCAGCGAACCGGCGCTATTTCTTTCGTTCTTGCCGATGATCTCAAAAAACGACACAGGCACCAACCCCCTAGCGGTAGGGATGAGGGGATTACACGCTTCGTACCAATCCAAGTCGTCCTCCCTGCTGATCACGTGAAAGAAGTCTCCCTTGCTGAAGGCCAATTCCTGGGTATTGCCGGGCTCTGGTTGATAATCGTAAAGAGCTTTGATAACCTGCGCGCCACCCAGGGGGGTGGTTGATCAATTAGTCGTCTTTTTTTTTTTTTTTTTTGGTTGCCAAGAAGGGGAACGATCCGACTAGTAAAAGCCGAGGGAAGGAGGAAGAGAGAGAGGAGAGAAGGGGGAAAACAACCAGAAAAAAGAAAGGCGGGACATGAACTGGGGAAAGGAAATGGATGGTAAGAAAGCGAAATGGCAACTAAACATGACGATACCGAAAGGTAAAACATGCGAGATACACACCTTTTTCGGGGGCAGGATCGCGATCGCTGACTTGGGCGTAATCGACAGATGGTGGTGGTGGTGGGGTTTGGGGTCCTTTTCCCCTTTGAGGGAGCGTCGGATGGCCTAACGAATGAATCGATTAATTAATTCTGGGGAGTCCAAGTGAGCGACCACAAAATTGGGGATGCTGGTCACAAGCGATAATCGAGATAAACGAGGGGCGGGAAAAGACGAAGCGCGAGGAACTTGAAACAAGAAGGGGGAATGTGAGATCCATCCACATACCTTCATGGCTGCCAGGCGGACCAACTAGTAAATCCGATGTAGGAACAACGTCACGTCAAAGTTTCCCAGTCCAAAAAGAAGATCGAGGTAAAGTACGGAGGACAATGTAATCAACTCCCCAAAATCCAAAATACGATAAAAATACAATCGTCCTCAAGGTCGGGTGTAGGTTTGCGGGCTGCAGAAGAGACGAAGATATCCCACGGATCTGCCTGCTATAAAACCCAATCTGCGCCACCAACAAGGAAAAACGAGAGACGATGGCGACAGACGGTCGAATACAAAGAAAAGGAATGTATGGGGGAGTCGGGGGGAGGGACTCGAATGAATGAATGGAGAGAGTGAGTCGGAGATCGAGAGGGGAATGCGAATAATAAAAAAGAAAGACCAAGCGATGGAGAGTATCAGTGAGAGTGAGAGTGAGAGAGGCGCATGTACTGTATGTATGGATGGATGGTGTGGATGTATGAATGTATGTATGCCAATCGTAGGGTCTCCGTCCCGTTCTATTTGGAGACTTCCTCACTCGACACTGTCTTGTCTCTGTCTCGCGCTCTCTTCGCCCGTTTGTCAGATCTTACAACCACCGCTGGGTGAACCAGTCTGAATGGACGTTCTGGATTGCGATCACTCCAAAAAAGCAGCGAGGGCCCGCTTTGTGTCGCCCGCCCCTGATATTACGGAGGAGGAATAATCTGGATGGGGCGAGTAACAATGAAGGATGGAGCTGACAATCCACGCGTGACAGCTGGGTTTGTTCCTCGAAGGCCCCAGACTGGAACCACTTTCTTTTGTGATCTTTTTTTTTTTTTTTCCTTTTCCGTGTGGTTAATGCGCAGTGGTTCTTTTTGATTGTTATTCTTGGAATCCGGTGTTTCTGTGCATAACCCGAGGGAAAGGCACCTGGTGGCTGTGAATCGATTTCCAGGTGGATTTCGGGGGGGAAGAAGAAATGGGACCGTGGGGTTCTTGTCCTGTCCTGTTCTGTTCTGTATGCTGTTTGAAAATTTCGTGGGTTCGTAGTGGCGGGAATTTTCGAATCCCTCCGGCTGGGTTGATAATATGGATCCTCTTCTGCAAGATGTATGTATGTAGTCTGTAGTCTGTACGTATGTATAAATCGCAGGCAGGAAAGGGAGAAGCAGGGAGGTAGCGCTGGGAACTCCCAAAATAAGAGTCAAGCTAACAATTCAAAATCGAGGAATAGGAAAAAGAAAAAAGTCTGCCACTGTTAACACATCTGCAACATCCCAAGCACATTGGATTGATTGGTGGTACGGTACCAGAAACGGTACGGAAGTCCTGTACAGTGTATCCATCGACTTCCGTCGGGTACAGTCAGTGTGGTTGGGTGGAGACGTGGGATCCGTTTGGAAAAACTTACTGTACCGTATCGAAGAACAACTTTTTTTTTCTTCCTTCCAGAAGGAAATCCATGAACTTTAAAAACTGGAAATCTTGGTTTCTGGGAATAAACACAAAAAAAAAAAAAAAAAAAAAAAAAAAGAAAAAAAAAAAA